CCATGAGTAAATTAGGACCTAGGATATTAACTGCCTGTCTACACAGGAGAGATACTTGCAGAAAACCCAAGGTGAGTAAAATTCTTGTCATGGTGAACATTTGCAGTTCTTCAACTCTTCTGTCTTTGTCTACCTGGCAGAAGCTACCTGCCCTCCGGCTGTGATTTCTTTTACAATCTGCATTAGCTCAGCATTTCAAGTATGTATGTGAAATGTAGAGCCCACAAAGCTTTAAAAATAAAACAAGAGACATGCTTCATCCCTGTGCCTATGGTGCACAAGGAAGAAGATGAATCAAAATCACAACCCCTACTGCTTTCTTGGCATCCATCCTGACTTACCATCTGAGTGGGCGAGTGTCTGAGTAATCACTCAACAATCTCAAAGTTTTTAAAGCGCTGTCCTTCTGAGGCTGGAGATCTTCCTTCTGCCTGCTTCCCGCTATTTGCATGGCGAGAAATCGGTGTCTTGGTGGAACTTGCAAGGAAGGGAAAGAAACTCCACACTTCTTTTTAGCCAAGCCATCCCCATCTGTCTACCTCCTCTGCTTCTTCCTTTGATCCACCCCGGGTGTGACTACCCCTCTGGCCTCTATTCTACCCACAGCTCCCACGCCCCAAGAGTCTCAGTTCACACACCTCCAGCCAAATGTTTTTCTTGCTTTATAATATTTTTTGAGACATAGCTGCTGTAAGGATTATTCCAGTTATAACAACCTTGTGCCACTCGAACCATTTTTACATGAGCTGGGCCTTCGAGAGCTCTGTGGTGTCTATCGTTGCAGCCCTTTCTCATGTTGACATAGAAATGCCTTCCGGGGCACAGATGGATGGATCCTTCTATGGGCTGTATTTTGATGGGCCATGTGCTCTGCAAAGAAAGCCTTCCTGATTTTTCTGGCTAATGTTAGTATTGCTAGTCAGAGCTTTACACCTCTAAATGATTTTACATTAATTGTACTGGCTCATCCCTATGTCCGAAGGACTTTTTCTTTTGTTGTTAAAGCATAGGCTTTGATGGAAAAGCCCATAACTTAGTCAAGATATCTCGGGTCACAAGTAGCTGTGAGAGAAAAGGATTTACCAACCACATGTTTAAGATTCAAAGCTTGGCTTACTAAGCCACATACAGAATCCTGTGAATAGAACTGCACAATCAGAGGCAATCTTTGCTCCTATAATCCTGATTTAAAGTATGTACGAGAATTTTTATTCTTGGTTTAAAATATAATCATTCGTTAACATTTTAGATATAAAATCCTCAGGAAATAATTACAAGGCTACTAGAACTAATGAATGAGTTTATAAAGACTGGTGGATACAAGGACAATATGCAACACACACACACACACACACACACACACACACACACACACACACACACACACACTAGCAATGAACAACCGGAAATTGAAACAATAAAAAATGGAATCATTTGCAATAAAACCACAAACATAAAATTCTTAGGTACTATCAATGTCTGCCAGTCATATGCTGAAGACTACAAATCACTGCTGAGAAAAATCAAAGGAGACCTAAATCGAGACATAAACTGTGTTATTAATATGAAAACTAAACATTGTTAAGATATCAATTCTCCCCACACTGATACATAGGTTTAACAAATCCAAGTCAACCCCCAGCAGGATTTTTAAAATAGATATTGACAAGCTGCTTTTAAAATGTATGTGAAAAGGCAGAGGCCCTAGAATAGCCGAAAAAATCCCGGCAAAGAAGAACAAAATTAAAGAACTCATATTATTGGATTCCAAGATGTCCCTGACAATAAGTAATCATGAAGACAGTTGTCATATCGATGAAAGGATAGACACATAGATAAACAGAGCATAACAGAGAGGTTAGAAATAGACTCATAATATATGGTCAAAGGCAATTTAATGAAGACAATGTAGTTATTTCAATAAAGAGCTGAAACAACTGGACATTAACATGCAAAAAATAAATCTTGCCTCATACCATGTACCTTATACAAAAATGAGATGAAAACGGATCATAGAACTAAATATAAAATGTAAGTCTATTGGATTCCCAGAAGAAAATATAGGATAAAACAGTTGTGCCATATGTTAGCCAATAACTTCTTAGATATGATATGAAAAGAATGAATAAAATAGACAAATTTGACTTCAGTAAAATTAAAAACTTTTGTTCTGTGAAAGGCACTGTTAAGAGATTGAAAAGACAAGCTACTGACTGGCAGAAAATATTTACACAACACATATGTGACAAAGGACATATCTGGAACATATAAAAGCTCTCAAAAAAATCTGACAAAGAACTTATATTTAGAATGTTTAAAAATGTTCAGTAATAGGAAAATAATACAATTAAAATGAGCAAAAACAGTTGAAGAAAGCTTTTGCAAAAGAAGATATATGGATGGTAAATAAAACATTATTAGTCATTAAGAAATGACTAACAAATGAGATAACAATAAAGACCTGTTAGAATGTCTAAAAACAAAACAAAAACTGACAATCCCAAGTGCTGTCAAAGTAGTGGAGCAATTGGAATGCTCAAATATTGTCAGTGGAAATGCAAAATAGTATGGTCACTTTGGAAAAATCTTGTGGTTTCTTATAATAGACTTATCACAAGGATCCCGCAATTCCATTCCTAAGATTTTAACCAAAATAAATGAAAACTTATGCTAATACAAAAACTTGAATATGAATGTTTAGAGTGGTTTTATAATCAGCAGAACAGGCAACAGCCCATATATCCTTCAACTGGTGAGAGGGTAAGCAAATCGTAGTACATCCATACAATGGAATAGTACTCAGAAATAGAAAGGAGTGAACTACTGAAACACATAACAACACACATGAATATTAAGTGTATTATGCCATGTAGACTAAAGAGGCTACATGCTGTTTGATTTCATTTGTGTGACATTCTGGAAAAAACAAAACTATAGGCACAAAAACAAACTTGTGGTTGCCAGGATTTGGAAGCAGGGGTAGGAGTTGATGACAGAGAAACTGGGGAATTCTGAGGAGGTTGGAGTTGAATGAGATCTTGACTGTGATGATGGTTACGTGACAGTAGGCATTTGTCAATACCCAAAAGCCTGTACACTGAGAATAGTATTTATATATATATAAATAAATATAAAGTGTTTATATATAATTGTATATTTATATATGTTTATTATATGTGTATATATTTTAATTATATATCTATGTATAAATATGATTTGTATGTTACAGATAATTGTATATTTACAATAAATTTATTTATTATATATTTTACTTATAGATTTATATAGCAATAAATATAAATAGTATGTATATATGTCACACCTTCATCTAAGGAAAACAAATATTAAAAAAATAAGAAAAGGTAATGTAATATAATATAATTACATTTTTAAAAAAATGCCAACTAGCAAAAATATACTTGGTTAAAACTAAGAGGAAAAGGCAGGGCGAGGAGGCACTGGTGGAATCGTTTTGAGGGGCGTGATGCTTATGAGGAAGAATCTGCTTCTGCTTGGTGCGTTCCTTAGCCATGCAGAAGAGGAAACTCTGCTTTTCCAGTTCATTACCTTTAAAGAATCACAACCAAATCATCCAATCCTCTCAAAAACGACATTTTGAGCGTGCTTGTTTTCTCATTCAAGCAGACTGCTCTTGTAATTTATGATCTGAAGAGTTCTTTGCTCTCCTTCCCACTTGAGCAAACCCACAGTATTATTTTCTTGAACATTCAGAGATCATTTCTTAATATAAATCTGTTTTTTCCTCATATAGAAAACACAGAGTGACTGGTTTGTGAACACAAAAATATGTCTCTCTGAAGATTCAGCAAGCCTATGATTGGGCTATTTACTTATATTGGTCTCTCTTATGTTGACAACAAGTTTTTCTCATTACTACTTTCCCCTTAAACTGCTACCTTGTCTATGTCAAATGTAAAATGCATGAGAAAGAACACTGGATTGAAAATTACGAGTACTGGGCATTAAGGTCATTTTGGCTTTGACTTTCCTTGGTACAATGACTGATCTCCTGTACCTAATGCATATCTCCAGCTCTGACCTCTCTCCAGGGCTTTGGTTATGAAACTCCAAATTCCTCCAGACACATACCACCTTTCAGGCAGCATTTACTTATTCAGGAATACAGATTTCACTAGACAATGTACTAGTGCCCAAATTACAATGGTTGCTTATTTGTTCATGTACTCATGCCTCATTTCTTCAATTAGGTTTCTCCAGCCAGACAATAACTTGTTTTCAGGGGAGGGAATTATTCATATACACATCTTTGTATCCCTGTATCACAAAGTAATAGCTTAAATATGCCTTTTTGCCGGTATAATTACTTGAGCTTACAAATTCCATTAATCACCAGACTTTGCAAAAATGCAGCCAAGTTAGACATACAGTTTTTCAGAGCCTTCCCTGACCACACGTGCTAAGACTGTCCATGCTATCTCCCCCAACTAAGTCATCTCACTGTTTATATTCCAATCTTATTTAACTTTGTTTATAGCATTAACACTCATTAACCTCACCCTCTCTCTTTCTCTCACTCCCTCTTCCTCTCTCATTTCTCTTTTTCCTAATCTATTATCTGAAACCCCCTACTCGGATTTAAGCTTCGTGAACACAAAAACTGATCATGTTCACTGTAATACATTTAGAGCCTGGACCCAGGTCTGGCACACAGTAGGCACTCAATAAATACTTGCTGAACCGTTGAACTCACCCCTCAATTGGCAGTGGTGGGACACTGCTGGGGGGGGCACATGACATCAATAAGGGTGCCTGATCCTAATTCAGATGAGGTAAGGGCCAGTGGGAGACCCAAACTTCACCTCACCTGTAACTAGACCACTTATATTCCCAATCCTGACTTACACCCCATCTCTTTAAAGTTAAAAATTAAAAAAAAATCCAGTGGACTTAAAAAAAATGCAGTGATGCCTACTAGAGACTGAACAATGGAATGAAACAAAATACTTCATACAATTTACCTGCAAAGAGGCTCTACAAGGTCCTTTTCAAGAAAATCATGATCGTTCTTGACAGCCACAATGTTGATGGGAAACTGTGAATCTGAACAAGGAGAGAGACAAAGAGGTTTATGCACCTTGTTTTATCTGAATGGGCACTAACATATTCAGGCCTCCAGGGTCTGCACAAGCCATTGATTTTAATAGCAATTACTGCCCATCACCAATGTTGGTAATGTTTAAGAGAGCAGACAATTTTTTATCACAATAAGTGCTTTGAAGGGTACAATATAAGTGTGAAATATGAGGATAATCGAGTGCTTGACCTTGAACAGAATTGCATGTTAAGTGCTTGTGTTTTTGTAGTTTATCCTTATCAGTTATAGGTTGATGGGGTTTTGGAGAAGAGCTTTTGCACTCTCCCTATCCGCCTAAGTGTAGGTCACTGACTTCTATCCTAAGGATTTCGTGAAATACTTAGTTTGGCAGATTATTTTTCTTTTCAAAAAGAAAATTTCCAAAAATACTCCAAGTGCAATGTGAGACATGTTTTCTTTTGCAGCAAAATCTTGAGCCACTTTGGAGTATCAGCAAAATCCTCAAACTGATTCTATCCAAAAAGAAGTGATTCCAACACCATGAATCTTCTCCAACAGCTTATTCATGCCAATTTTGAAGGTCACAGGCAATAGTCAGAACATGGTGTTAATTTCAGACATCTCATTCATGGAGGTAAGAATCTGAAGAGCATTGGAACAGACACTGGTCAATTCTAACAACGGTGGTAACTTATTATTATCATGCCATTTCCCCCTTCTCAATTGTCTATTTTGTACTGCCTACACCTTTCCAATCATGATAATTCTAAGGGTATCTAAATCTTAGTAGGAGTTGGAAACAGAAGCACTTCCCCTTCTGGTGAGAAAGGATATGTAAGTGGCTTCCAGATAGTTCCAGAATGAAGCTGTCTTGTTCTGCTAGTGAGGGAGTGATTTGTGGCTCTCCTCATGGGATGCTGCTCCCGGACAGCTGTGTGCTCCCTCCTAGGGTCTAGTTTAAAACTCCTCTCTCCTTCTGCACTCCAGAACCTTCTACCTTGTCTCATCCCTTTGGGTCTATGGCAGTGACAACTTGGCTGCCACAAGCCCTGGGCTTTTTCTGTACTTGTGAACTGTTCTTGGTGGCTCCTTTGCCCTGCCCACAATTTTGTAAAGAGCACTGCCAGAAATAAATACTCTACACATGATCTTGAGTGTGCCATCTGCTTCCTGGGGGGTCCTGACTAATCTGACTAATTCGCCATATATGAGGTCGACCCAAGAAGGTGTTAACCGCTTTGCTTACAATTGTAGATATAAGGAAGATATAGGTGAGGAAGTTTACTAACAGTTAAACACTGAGTGGAAGGAAGTATGATGCTGGCAATGAGAACTTTTTTTTTTTTTGAGTTGGAATCTCACTCTGTCGCCCAGACTGGAGTGCAGTGGCCACTCCCGGCCACCGTAGCCTCCACCTGCTGGGCTCTGGCGATCCTTCCGCCTCAGCCTTCCAAATAGCTGGAACTACAGGTGCATGCTACCACACCCAGCTAATTTTTTGATTTATCGTAGAGATGAGGTCTCGCTGCCCAGGCGGGTCTCGAATCCGCGGGCTCAGGCAATCCACTCACCTCAGCCTCCCAAAGGCACAGGATTATAGGCTGAGCCACCGAGCTCAGCTAATGAGAACATTTTATCCATGACTCAGAAGAATAAGATCTGATCTATGTGACACCTTAACATTTCGCATATAAAGTAAACAGAATTAAAGCGAAATCTCAAGGCAATTTGTTTTGTGACTTCTAGGAAAGTTATCAACAACAACAAAAATTGTTGTCGTATCAGTAAAACAGAGTAGTGACAAAAAGAAAACAAGGAGAAAATATGGAAGGAAGTGCAGAAAAGCTGCTGATGGCAGAATGTTGGAAGGAAAACATTGAGATGGGTTTGTGGTAGAGATGGGAATTACAGGCAGGAAGCAGAAAGTCAGGTGGGCCTGGGAAGTGATACTCATTTCCAAATTGGCATCTGGTTAAGCCCTGAGCGCTGCAAAGTCTGACGGGAAAAGAAGGCAAAACAAAATGACTGAGAAAAAACCTGGAAGTCAAAACACACCACCGAATACACGCGGTTCATTATGAATTTCTTGTCTGTGTAAAAGCCAAGAGAACACCGACGTACCCTCATACAACTGAGCGTATTGCGGGAACCCGGCAGCGCGGAGCCAGTCACATGCTTCTTTTGCCTCAATTTCTGAAAAACACAAGAGAAGGAAAATTGTGAGTCCAACAGCCATACCCCAGCACTCTGCCTTCTTAATCACGGAGACACTGGTGAGCTTTGTGTGAGTTTCTACAAAGCAGAATTGTTCAGGTATGTCTGTATAAGCAGGCCTGCCCAGGAATGGGAGTTAGCGTGCAGGCCACACAAAAGTACTCGTTACACGTCTACTAAGATTATTTTCAGTGCTGATCCGTAAGTATGTGGATAATGAAAAAAAAAAAACCACAGATGATAAAACACAAAGGCTGAGTATCAGGCAGGGGGAAATGCTGTATTAATACACCAGAGAACTAGAAGACTAGGGGGAAAGAGGAAATACTTCTTTAGAATCTTTTTTTAAGTGAATTTTTTTTAAAGTTTCAAAAATAAGTCTAAGAATGCTTATTAAACATTCATTTATTCTGTCACACTTGTGATAACGAAAGACTACAACGGGATGGCCTATGAAAATGTACTTTCTCATGAAAAAACGTTTTACGAAAATCCAATGTATTATTATTATCTTTAATTTCACAAATGGTCTTAATTCCCCAAGAGGTTCATTCATGGAGCACACTGGCATGATTTCAAGTACAGCATGGAAGAGCACAGAACAGGAAAGCTGATTATCCGCAAGTGAGATCTGAACTTGATGGGACTGCCAGAATCTCTGAGGACAAAGCCTAAGAGGCTGATAGGTCCCTTGGGTGACCATTTTTAGTGTGAGACTGTGCCAACAGCCCACCGGACCACCTGCCTGGGGAAGCTGTGGAGTCAGAGGGGAGGAGTCTGCAGTATGTGAATCAGGTCACTTTTTGACCTCGTGAATCCTGGACCTTTCCCAACCACAGCTCTGTTAGACAAATATGAATCCAAGGGAAAAGAAGTTCATATGTCCAAAGTTCAGCTTCTCCAAATAAAATTAAATAGCCTGTTTCCACTATTCTTTACCAAGGCCTTTTCCTCTGCTATTAGGATGGGGGCTCGTCAGGTCCTCTTATTTTCAGTCACTATGACGTTCACTTTTCCCCATAGCTGAGGCTGGAGAGTACAGAGTGTCCTGAGACCACAGCACAGAATTATCTGCATTAACATCGCCCTGGGCCTGAGATTGTGCCTCAAAGGTCTGTGCAGCACGATGTTCAATGTGACAGAGCTATTGGGTGTATCTTAAGAAAACAGCCCAAAGACCAGGTCTTAGTCAGGTCTCCAGAGAAACAGCAGAAACCTACATCCTGGTCCCACTGATCTGGTCAGAACTCGATTGAAATCTGTCATTAAATTAGGGAAACAGAGCTGGTGGTGGTTCCTGTCCCAGAGGGCCTGATTCTTTTTGGCATACTCCTCATCTGCTGTCACTCCAGGGGCTGACAATCCCTAAAGCTTGATCTTTGTCCCCAACAGGAGGGTTTTCCACATCGTTTTGACCAGCACAGACCTATCACATATAGTACTCATTCCTGCCATTTACACATGGCTCGGAAGTATCCAGGGCACCACGCTGGACACAAAAGCTTTGGAAAACGTTTCTTCTAGGAGGGGAGTCTCCAAGGTTCCCATCTGCTGTTCAAAACAGGCCTCTGGTGAGTGGTGCTGCATCAGCTAATTTGGGTTGTTCCTTGGGAAGGTACGAAAGGTGATTACTGTATTGCTCAAAAATTCTACTGAGTACTCAACTGAGAGTCTGGAAAGGAAGGCTTCCACTCTGATAAGCAGACAGTATTTCAGAGGAAGGAGGAACACCGTATTTGTAACACATTGAAAATGTAGAGTGTCGCTACTGAGTCATAAAGTGCTGCCTTATAAACGTTCAAATCTCAGATTTCTTTCCACTTCAGTATGATACATTGGGTAGTAAGGAGAAAATACCTAATTTCCATACATGCTCTAAACCAAATTATGGGTCAGCAAGTCTTGGAGAGAAGCAAGAATTCTGTATTTTCCCTATGAACTACATGAAAGCGATGCCTTTTTCTATTTTATTGTTACTTTTACGACAATCAAAATGGAGTGTCAAGCAAGAGAGTCCCAGAGAGCCAGTCCATGAAGAACAAATGGAGAAGACCAGAAAGACAGGAACTCTACAACCCATAAAGCTCAAACCAGGAGAGCAGGAAGTTTGTTTATTAAGATACAGCCCTCCAGCGCCAGGCATGCAGGAGGCTCAGTCCCTGGAGATGGAAAGGATAACAAGACAAGGGAGAAGTGAGCAGCCAGGGAACCTTCTAGAAAAACTCTTTTTTGTGAACTGAAAACTCTGGTTGGGCAGTGAGATAAGGCTGAGGCTAGTCAGGGAGATTCTATGCAAACAGAATCATGGGCAACCCCTTCCGGTTCCCTCCCACTGAGGGAGCTTTGATGTCCTCTTAATAAATCCTGCTTTCCAAAAAAAAAAAAAAAATTAAAAAAAGAAAACACTTTTTTTTAAAGTGAAAAGGCAGGATTTATTGAGAGAATATAAAAGCTCCTACAGTGGGAAAGGGACCAGAAAGGGTCACCCCTCATTTAATTTTTTATAAGGGTCGCATGGATAATGGACTGAAATCCTATTCAGATACCAACATGAATAATAAAATCTTAACCAGAGCCCCGGACAATTACTCTAATATGATTTCTTTTCTTTTCTAACAGGTAGGCTTTTAGCTTAGAAGTCTCAGAGTCAAATGACAACAACTGCAATTAGTGAATATAATAAACTGGACTTCTGTAAGATGGCGGATGGCCTTTGCACCATTTGCTCCCTATGCCCAACTGGGCCATTCTATTTGCCCAAATGTCCCTCAATACACTTCCTCTTTCATATTTTCCTTACCCTAGCTGTGGACCCAAAGTCTTGATAGCTCCTTTTTAGGGCAAAACAAACTCTTGTTTGCCAGCTAGCAACAAAACAAGCAAACACAACAATCTGGCATAATTAACTACCATCAAATTTGGCTTTGCCCATCCAATTGAGTTGAGGGAAGAAAAAACTCTTGCAATTTTGACTGATTTCCCACAGTTCCTACTAACACCTATCAGCCAAATGCTCATGTTTTCCCCAGGGCTCCTGCAGCGGCCAAAATGATTGGAGAGTTAAAAAAGAATCATTACTGCTAGTGCCATCATTCCACAAAGATCTATCTAATGAGATTTAAATGACATTTGAAGAGAAAAGTGCGAAAATCTCTTTTTTATTGTGCTCATGCTAGCCAGCATCATATTATGTAAAAGCATTAAGCGCTATTAAAATCACATTTGACAGTTTTATTTGTTCTCCATTTGCAACCCTTACCTGCCCCCATCGCCGCACCAGGGCCCAGGGCTGCAAGGCAAAGCATCAACTCCTTGCAACCGTCTTGTGGAAAACCAGAGTGTGGGGTAGAAAAGGGAAAGCCCTAGACAGAACAGCCCACTGATCTCCACTGAGGTCACCACACCACTTTGTTGGGGAAAAACCCATTTAGCTGGGTATCACGAGAGGATTTCAATAGAATTGTTGGGATTATTCTGTGCAATAATCACTTTGTTTTACTCTCTAACAGGTATCTAGTTTTGCTTCCCCAACACTCGTCCCCATCTCTTCTGGTGACAGAACCTCTCTATGAGAGAAGCCTCTTGTGTATGATTTATGTGGGGCTGACACCCCTTTCCCCCAACCACACATCTGCTCCTTCAAAGCACCCTATATATCTCTTAGTCTAAGAAGAGGAGGCATTTGGGGACCTTAAGTTCCAAAGTTATTTGGGGGCTGAAATTAACTGGTTGAAAAGAGAGCTATCCAGTGCTTTAGCTCTGCACCAAAGTCAAGCACACCTTCTTACTGGTTAACTTGACCAATTCAGAGGATGGTTTGGTGCTGGGTACACTCTTCTGCCACGTGACTGCAATGACACTTGAAGGAAAGTCACCAGCTTTGCCTCACCTACATGCTTAGAACACGGTGTAACCTCGGGCCACAGACTCCATTGAGGGAGGCTCTCAATGGTGTCTGAGGAGGCATAATCTACCATGGGCATGAGAACAAAGCCACTGTGGAAACAGACCATGGTCTGCAGCATTGATGACTTACTACAGATACAGAAAGTCACAAAGAAAGAAAAAAGTTGACTCCTGCTCCATTTTGAATACATAATTTGACATGTGCTATTTGTCAAGACAGTAGTATCTTTGGTTGACTGCTTTTTTCACATAATAACACATTGTGAATATTTTCTCATACAACAATATTGTTTGTAAAATTGGGAAGATTTACTCTGCTTTGAGAAGGATGCTTATCTTTTAAGTATCTGATCTTTTAATACCACCCGTTGCCTTTGCCCTAGAGGAGATGATAGCAAGAAGGGAGCCAAGAGAAAAGAGTTTGGTAGACCTGCACCAGTGCACACCGATTGTGGGGAAGGCTGTACTTCTGTGGGAGTTAAGAGAGACTTATAAGCTGCTTTTCTGATGAAATATCACTTAGTGACTTGGATACAGTCAGCAAGCAAGCCTCAGGAAGGCCTCAGTCAAGTAAGGAGTGAGGTCAAGCACAGTAAATTTGCTGGCCAGGTTTTCAGGCTTCGTATCATGTTACAGTCTCATTGTATTTTTAAAACCAGTGCTTCTAGTGTGCTTGGGAACAGTGTGTTCTCTTAGCTAAGCATTTTTAGTGCATACATTTTGTTTTACATTATTCTCCACCTAGCAAATACTTTTTCCTTAGCAGAATCAAAAGCTTTGGGCATCCTTTCCAAAAGACCCAAAATTCACATTAGGGCCAAATCAAAATTTATTATCAGAAATCTAGCTGGCTAGGAGGAATCTGTTCTACTGTGGAAATTTTATGAAGTCGTTATATTTGAGCATATGTATTGATGCTGATCTTACCAATCTCCTTGAATTCCCACAGATAAACTGGCTCCCATTTAAGTAGGTCTTCTTTCTTAAATGTTCATTAAAAGTGGGGAAAGACGGCACACTTGTCATGTGATTTAGGAAAGTAGGCTTGACAACAGCGTTTCATTTTCTTCATT